GATATAGCTCTTCACCACTGTCGGGTTATTTTGTCTGAATTCGTTTGCACCGGTGATTCGCTTTGAGAACCCGTGTCGCACCCTTGCCTTGTTTTTATGTCCCGTTCCGGTATCCCAATGTTCATCGAAAAGTTTACTTTTTTCTCAGCTTTATCACAATATTGAACTATAAACCTGATGTGGAACTGAACGACTCACTAATTATACAGTAGTTTCCGTGGTATGTGTAGTTTCCATAGGTTGTGTCCTTTTTGATGATGACCAGTGTCCAGAAAACTGCACGGCTGCATTATGCTCCATTTTTTATTCCTCTGTGTGGGGTAAGTATATGGCATATTTGCCATCGTCAAGTCATATTTGTGTGGCTTCCATTTACCATCAGAATCCTCGTTTATTTGAAAAATTCCCTCATTTAAAAACTCATCTATTAGAAGAGTGTTTTTGGGCAAGACTGCAAAAATGCGTCATTTGTTTCTCATTTGAACCAGATTTTTGCATCTACGCGTAGAGGTTTGTTGCGGCTCCAAATAAATCATCCTTTTGGGGTGGTGATACGGGTCACAAGCATAGATCTCCGAAAAAGTCAGCACTTTTAACCGTACAACTTAGATTTATTGTCATTCCTTGTCATCCGCTGCCACTATTAACGTCAGAAATAATTTCCAACAGTAAGTCAAATACGACTTTTGGTTTATGCATTCTGCTTGAAAACACCCGGTCCCCATCGAACCGATGTCAATACTTACGAAGGCTACCTGTATCGTTCAGATTTCCAGATGAAGACCACTAAATAATCAAAGTAACGTCTGAATCCGGTGAAAAATATTTTGCTTTATTGATGAGCCGTTAGTAAGTGTGCCCGCGTCTCTATTTGTATGCGTTGTTATCTGCGTGGTCTAGCAGTTTGTTGCATCCCTTATCTAATAAACGCTTATTGTGATGGGTATATGACCATTATGGTAGCCTACTATTCCATTGAAGGGAGGTTGTAGTTCACTCTCCCCTGTTCCGCTACACTTTATGCCCCAGCGATCTTGGAACTAAATTAGCATAGGCGACTCGATGTCATATTTTAGTTGTTTTATCTACACGTTGGCCATTACGAAGATCAAACGTTACACGTGCTCGAGGAGAGTAATAATTGATTTACCCTCAGTAATGTTATATTCTCAACGGAATGCGGGTCGTCATGGGCTTTCTTCACTTTTTCACCAA